AGCATTGCTCTTTCGTGACTGTCCTGATTTGAAATTTTAAGGTGGACTGGGGGACTGCAGATGTGAAAACCCACAAGGACACAGTCCTCTACAAGCTGATCTGCAGCCCTCAGCCTGCAAGAACCCAGTCACTGCCACTCTGGCTGCCTGTCTTGCCAAGAATTGGATCACTTTACAGCTGTTTTAGAGCCTCCCTTGACTCAGGCTGAGAGCTGCTAGGTTTATTCCAGGCTCAGGAGGGAGTTCATCTCTTTCCTGCTACCTATTTTACTTTCTTTACTCTGTGTCCCTCTTGGCTTTTTATTTCTCTGCATGTGTCCATGGAAAAAGAAGAGACTCATTTGTGTATGTAGTAGACTAGGGAAGAAAATTCTGATTTCAGTATTCATGCTTAGAGGTCCAGGAATGAATGAGATCCCTGTTAGTCCTGTTTTCTAGGGCTTCTCATCGCAGGGCCCTTGCACTCTGTTCAGCCAGCGGCTCACCAGTAGAGGCTCCTGGAGTGTGGAGACTTTACCTGTTCATTTCTTGTGTCTCAGCTGGAGAAAATGTAGATTGTGTTTGTTCCTTTATTCAGGAAATATTTATTGAACCTACAATAATGAACAAGGCAGATGCAGTCTCTGTTGTCATGGAGTTATGCATTTGAGAGAAACTGACAAGAGGCAGTAAGCAGGTAGACAAAGGCTATACTTTCAGGTAGAGAGAAGTGCAATGAAGAATTAAGAGCAAAGGGAGAGAGAGTGTCAAGGAAGGGGTAGCTAGAGTAGAGAAGGCCTATCTAAAGAGGTAACACTTGAGACAAACCTGAGCAAAGGGAGGTGGAGGTAAGCATGTTAGAAGCTGGCAGATGAGCATTGCTAGTAGAGGGGCTAACACGTGCAAAGGTGGAGGAAATGAACTAGCTGTGTTTTAGAAATATCAGGAAGGATCATTGTGACTGAATTGGAGGAGGCCAGAGGGGCAGTGTTCAGGTAGGCTGGTATTAGACCATAGGAGGCCATGGTCAAGAGGTAAGATTGTGTTCTAAGTGTCATGAGAAATCCCTAGAGAGTTGTGATCAGTCAAGTGACATAAGCCATTGTATATTTTTAAAAAATGAATCTGGCTGCTGGTAGAGAGTAAACTCTTGGGGACAGAATCCTGGTTGTGCCGCTCACTGATGCCATGATCTTGCAGAAGTCCCTTAACCTTGGCTGAGCCAAGGTTTCCTGCCTACAAAGTAAAGAGGAGGAGTAGGAGAAGGAGAGGATGCTTTTAAGTGCTTAGCCCAGAGCAACACAGTCTGCTCAGTGAGTGTTAGCTCCATTATCATTATTGTTGTTACCACTTAACATCGTGGGCCTGGCTTTTCTCATTATTAAAACCTAACAGATACATTGGGAAAATCAAATAAGCTATAATTCTATAAATGGTAATGTATTATCCTTCATTATACCCATTAGTGTAGAAACACAGCAAGAAGTTAGTAGTAATAATGGTAACAATATTTATCCCATGGGATTATTATAAGGACAACTTGGACTTGAGTATGGAAAGTATTGCATCAACTGGAAAGTTCAAGTATTAGGAGGTAGTCCTAATATTGGTAATACTGGTAATGGTCATTTATTCAATACAGAATAAGTCATAGTTGCTGTATATTTCATTTGACCCTTACAACACCTAGATGGGTTAATTCTAGGGGAGTCTCAGAGAGGTGAAGCACCTTACCCATGATCACACCCAGCCAAAGAGTAGCAAAGACAGAGATAGGATGCTAATCCAGATTTATCTGGCTTTAAAGCCTATCGTTCTCCTTCCAAGTCATGCCACTTCTGACTGTGTGATTTCAGTTGATATTAAAGTTAGTACATATTCTCCTATTTATGCATGTTGCTCAGAGAGCAGAGTATAAGGCAGAGTAGGCAGGGAAGTCAGATGGAGCACAGGGTCTTGGGGAGCTGTTCTGGGATTAATAATTGGCTGTAGATAATCCCCAAAGTAGATAATTCACACCTGGACAATTAAGAAACAATTGGCCAGTGTTCCTGGGACCTATTGGAGACTTCTGAGAGCTGAGTACAGTTTCCTAGGGCTGTAGCCAGGGAATCCTAGCAATTCTGGGGGTTCTCAGAATAAGGAGTGTGCCCCGCTGAGGGTGTGAGCCAGTTGGTAATCTGCTCTCCAGGTGGCTTTCATATTCATTTCAATGTGGGTGTATTTCCTCATGGGTTTTAATGGTTGTGAAATTTATTAAATTTAGAAGGAGCAGGTAGGTTGGGAAAGAGCAAATTAAGTTGGGAAATTGAGTAAATTTCTGTGGTAAGAACATGCCCATGGAGCTGTCCATCAAATGTCCAATAAAATGGTGGCCTGCTCACCATGACTCTAGACCACCTCTGTGTCCATCCACGTTAAAAATGGGGCAGCAGCTTCCTCACCTCTCAGATCTCTTGTTTTCATACAAACATGCAGTGCTTCCAGCAAATTCCATTTCTCTCATAAAATGCTTGAAAGGTTTTTTTTTTTTTTTTAACTAAAGGGTAATTGAGTAAGTTTTCTGGGGGAAAATTTCAGGCTAGGAAAAACCTGTTAAACACCAGCTTTAGGAGAGTAGTAATCCATTCTACTGTGTGTTGGGACTAGTTCAGAAGATCAACACTCTCCTTTGGAAAGGATTTGTCTCCTGGAGGTCTGTTAGAATTCCCAGGATGCCTGTAACTTTGGGGTGTGTCCCAGAGCATTGTTGTCACAGACCATGCACCCATCAGTCAACCTGTGGTATGGAGGAGTCCCTTCTGTTCAAAATTGGTGATTTGGTTACTTCTTGCCTAATTTCTTGGTTCTGACTACTGAGGATTGGGGTAGGGCAATGGCAGGTCAGTGATTTTCAGAAAAGGGGTTCCTGGACCTGAAGAGGGAGACCTGTTGGTCAGCACTAAGCTCTAGGGGAGAATGCCCTGTTTTCCAGGACCTTCCTCAACCTTCAGGCCATTCTGACTGTTTCTAGATGGCCAAATTTCTGTGATGTGGAGGAGCCCACCCCTTATACCCTCCCTAGCCAGCCCATGGTTTACACCACCACATACAGCTTGTTGATGATAATGCCTCTATAAACAAAACAGAAGATTTCTGAAAGTGTCCAGGAAAACCTAAACTCGGTTTTGTCTCCTCTGCTCCATGTCTTGGCTTGCACTACTTTTGTTTTCCTCTCTCTTGAACTCATTCTTGGGCTTGTACTTCTAGGGGATAGTACCTCTTTGTGTTGATACAGGAAGGAAGTGGTTAGATCAGGCCATTTATTTTTTTATTTAACCATTGTTCCCTCACAAAAGATGAAAAACCTGAGGGTCAGAAGCTTAAATAACTCACCTACTCTCCTAGGGTTTTATATCAGGTGGAATTTGAAAGATCATTTTGACTACACCACACTACTCCTCAGCAACTCTCCCCACTATTCAGTCACAATTTGCCTATCCATGCATCCAAAATGAAAAATTACACAAAATGAAAAATTGCATGCTTCTACTTCCTGTCTAACAATGTATAAACAGTAAAAGACAGAGATATAGTACTGAATAAAATAAGTGAAAAGTGCTGGCCAGGTAGCTCAGTTGGGTAGAGTGTCATCCTGATACACCCAGATTGAGGGTTCAATCTCTGGTCAGGGCACATACAAGAATCAACCAATGAATGCATAAATAAGTGAAATAGCAAATTTATGTCTGTCTGTCTATCTGTTATCAATAAATTAAAAAAATAAATTCTTTAAAATATTGTAAATAAGATGTACATGGGTCATTGCCTTCATGGATGTGTGTCTACTAGTTTGGTAGACATATTTTTTGCAGGGTTATACAAATAAATATAAGCTTGCACTTGTGCTGATTGATAGGTTGGTGATGCTGTATCCTAGTGTGCAGTGGGGGCATTGACCTAGATGGAGAGGTCAGGGAGACTTTTTGAGGAATTGGTACTTACTGGAGACCTGAGGATTTCGAGTTACTTGGGCCATGGGGCTTCCTGGTGAAATCCACAGCTTTGGGGAGAAAGTGGTCAGTTGGATGTTCTGAAAGAAAGTCAGTGTGGTTGGGATTCTGAGGTCTAGGAGACCGGCATCAGTCGAAGCTGGAGAGGCAGACTGGGGCCAGACCAAGCAGGTGTTGTGGGTCACGTTAGGGATTTGGGTTATCCTCCTGAGAGCAGTGGGGTGTCACTGAGAGATTTTAAACAGGGAGATGATGTGGTCTGATTTTTGTCAAGATCACAGGGTCTACAATGTGGAGGAAAGATTGGAGGGAGCCAGAGGAGGCTGAGGAAACCTGCGAGGAGATTGTTGAAGCAGTCCTGGTAACATGATGGAAGCCAGGCCCAGGGTGGTGCTGGTGAAGGAGAGGACTAAACAAAATTGAGAGATCCTCGAAAATAAAATTGAGGAACTTGGTGATAATTTGGATGTGAGGAACATCATAGCTTAGGGTTATGCTGGTAGTTTTATTGTAGTTCTCACACTCTGCTACCACCTATACATCTGCTTTTTTTAAAGGTGTAAAGAGCCAGGGAAAGCATCTTAGGTGAGGTATAATGAGGTACTAGAAGCTGTAGAACATGCCAGTCACCATGATGCTCGAAGGCATTTCTGCCCTGGCTGGTGTGGTGTGCTCAGTTGGTGTAGTGTTGTCCTGTAACCAAAAGGTCACCAGTTTGACTCTTCGTCAGGGCACATATCTAGGTTGCCAGTTCATTCCCCATATGTGCCCTTGAAGGCAACCAATTGATGCTTCTCCCTCACATCAGTGTTTCTCTCTTTCCCTTCCTCTCTTTCTATGAGCAATGAAAAAAAATGTCTTCAGATGAACATTTAAAAAAAAAGCCACTTCTGTCTACCTGGCCCACCAAACTCCTTCTTTTAGACATGAAAATAATTTGATCGAATCTTGTAGTATGTTCCCTAAAGAGCAAAACCATCTGTTTCTGGATTTGCCCTGCCTCCCTGGCCTCAGAGTTCTTACCGCAGGTACGGTAGCACAAACCCCCGTGGTCTTACAGGCATTGTCCTCCTATGCTGCCCGGAGACTCTCCAAGTTGACCGAGTGGGAGTCCACCTCTCCATTGTTGTCATGTTCTCCATAGAACTTTGGAAAACAGGTTTGTGTGAGCTGGGCCCTTTCTCTAAAAGGCAACAAAGAAACAGGGCTTCAGAAGTTGAAATGAAAGATAAGGGGATGACACATTTCCAACTTGGTGGGTCAGCCTGGGTATTTGGTGCACTCTCTCTGAGTATTCATTATTTGGCAGCTGTTTGGGCTGCCCTGTGCGTACACCTGGGCAGGCTGAACCTGGGGCTGAGGAAGGAAGATAAGCTTTAGCCAGTGGATGTTGAGCGTAGGAGGCACAGTTCCTGCAAGGAGTCATCACAAGTCAAATTAAGGGAAAAATGCAAGCCTAGTAGATATTTAATGAGAGATTATTTCTAGAGATTATAAGGATACAGAAATTGCAAATAAATCCCTGACCTTTTCTGAGCCTTGGCTCAGTGCAAGAGCTGAATCACCTGCTTGAGGGGATTAAGGAGAGCCGATTCCATCTGTCGGGCTGCTCAGACTTTTTGTGTCATTAGTGAACTGCTCCGTGGTGATGGTGTTCTAAACCTTTTAGTGGAAACTCGATTTTCAGAGTAGGAGATCTCAATTAACTTAAGATTAGGAACCTGCTAGGCATAGATCAGGACTAATGACCTGCTATGTATGCACTGTAGTCCCTATCATATTAGTGGTACTCAGTCCATGTTAAATAATAAAGCAGTTGTTAATCATCTGTAACCTAATCATGACGTCAGCGGGAAATTCAGGTTGTTGAGAGCAGAAGTCAAACCTGTGTGTGTGTGAGTGTAACAGACACAGAGATGGAGAGAGACTGAGATGCAGGAAAGTGTGGGGCTGCAGGCAGTGACATAACTCACACCAGTTCTCGTTTAGAGATTCAGAGCATGATACTGAAGCTGTACTTCACAAGTTTCTTGTTGGGCAAAGTGCTTTGATATGAATTCCATTTCTTAACATAGTTTTTAACTGTGATAATTATCATCACCATGAAACTTGGACACATTAAAGGGCAGCAAAGAGTTACCTTGAGCTTTTATGTTTGGCTTTGCAATATATAAGCATTGTATACATTTGAACTAATATATGCTAATAAATACTGTGTTACATGTGTAATGTGTAAGGCCTTTATGTGTAACATCTGTGTAAGATTTATTTAAAGAAAAGGGGTTTGCTGGTTTAGAACAAATTGGAGAACTTCTAATGTTGGGAAACTCCAAGGATGAACATTTACTCAGATTTTTGGAGGGGTTTTGCTTTGCCATGTTCCAAAAGAAGTAATTGTAGTTAATGTAGCTTATTAGAAGTTAATTTTTTTCTGGATGTACATGGAAGGTGCTCTTTTCCATTACTTATTACTTACCTAGGAAGGGCTCTGGCTTCCCACAGTTCCACATGAACAGGTTCAAGGACTGACTTGCCTCTGTAAGGATGACCTAGCTCTGTCCATATTTCTTTAGCTACTTGTGCTGATGGCTTTATGAGCATGTACCTTGCAAGTGGGCTCATTGCTGTCAGCTGCCAGATTATTTCCAGTTTTCCAACTTTAATCAGTGTTCATGGGGTAAGGAAGCAAAATAATTTTTGGTCTGGACAGAAAAGTTCATCAGTTCCATGTTTACAAACCTACTCTCAAAACATCCAACTTTGGAACTCTCCTCAGCGGCTCCCCAGAGCACTGTGCAGAACAGCAGTTCTTTCCCAAACTTCTTTCACAGTCATCCCTATGCAAGAACCTCTAAAGAACCTCTCCAGAGAAGAACTAAAAGGCTTCAATGGACTGTTATGAACATTTTGAAAACCTCCTTAACAAATACAAAAAAACCTTGACAAAAAACCCCCTCTGACAAATACATTCTAGTAGGCTCTATTCTAACTACTGTATAAAAGAGTGAAAACCCTCCCCTGCACATGAAAAGATGCCCAAGGTACTTAGTCATGAGGGGAATGCAAATCAAAACCACAGTGAGATACCACTTCACACCCACTAGGATGGCTATAATAAAAAAGACAATAACAAATGTTGGCAAGGATGTGGAAAAATTGGAACCCTCATCCATCGCTGGTGGGAATGTAAAATGGTGCAGCAGTTTAGAAAGCAGTTTGGCAGTTTCTCAAAAAATGTTAAGCACGGCATTACCTCATAACCCAGCAATCTCACTCCTAGGCATATACTGAAGAGAAGTAGAAGTGAAAGCATGTAGACAGATGTTCCTAGAGCATTTATTTACAACAGCCCAAAGTAGAAGCAACAACTGGTGAATGGATAAATTAAATGTGGTATATCCAGACAATAGAATATTATTTCATCATGAAAAGAATGAAGTATTGATGTCACAACAGAGACGAATCTTGAAAACATTATGCTAAACAAAAGAAACTAGATACAAAAGACCACATATAGTATGATTCCAGTTACATAAAATGATCAGAATAGGCAAATCTACAGAGACAGGAAGTCGTTTAGTAGTTTCTGGGATTAAAGGTAAGAGGGGGAATGGGGAGTGACTACTAAGGTGTGAGGTTTTTGTGGGGGATAATGAAAATGTTATAGAATTGATTCTTAACTTTGTTAATATACTAGGAATTAATGAATTGTAAACTTTAAGTGGGTGAACTCCATGATATATGAATTATATCTCAATAAAGCTGTTATTTACAAAAATCTTCCCTTAGATTCTAATAGGTATTTGGCTGTGTATTATAATTTAAGTTTGGGAAATGTCTGTGGCATGAGTGAATTGAGTTTCATTTGGAAGAATAATTTTGATCTGGCTTACAGCTTCCAGTCAAAAAACTAGAAATAACACAATTTGCCAAGTAAACACCTGGTTAATACTAGAAAAAGTGAGCGGTTCAGTTAGTAGGCTCTTTACAGCTTTAAGGGAATAAGAACAATGGTTTTGTATCATACTTGTTCTCCAGGGAGAAAAACACTGTTTTCCTTCTTTTCTAGTTACTTTACTTACCATCCTAGAGACCAAGTGTGTTAAGTACCACTAAGCACTAAGTATGCATGTGAGAACAAGAGCTATTTCCCTTTGGGAAGAGAAGTTTTCAGAAATTAGCATTCCTTTCTAGTTTGATTTGGGCAATTGTCAGTGATTTTTTAAAGGATTTTTATCTTCATTGGATCTACATTTACTCAGACATTTAGAATTGGAGAAAGATTCCATTTGGATTAGATCCAAGATGAGTTCAAGTTCTGCTCAGTTGTCATATTATACACATTTATTTCTTGCCCTGGGATGATGACAAATCATTTCTAAATACTCACCCTCCTATTTTCTACCATTTCCTTCTCTACTCTGAATATTTGTTTGTAGAATGTTTGGTCCTGATGCCCTAAGAGGTCAAAGATGAACCCCTTCATAAAGATTAGTGCATACATCTTATCACGGGGAAACCAGAGTGTGGATATGAGTTCTGGTGGATTCTCAGCTTTGTTGCCAGGATGGAAATTAGTTCTGTGCTGTGGAAAAAGTTGCCGTTGTTGAGCATTTATTTTCTGAGTAACACTAGTGGGTTTTAGAGCAGGTGGAATACTGTAACCACCTGCCAATTCACCACAAGAGGATGACTCTACTTACTGCCTTAGGTCTTCTTCTTCAAGTAGCTTCTCTGTTTTTGGCTATTTTGATTTTTCTCTGGGTCTTTTTTTTCCTAGTAGACTGAACAGAATTTTACTTCTCTCTTTAATTCATGGTCACATTTAAGGAAGTTAGGTCACACAGGGAGAAAAAAATGGGACAATTATAATAGCCTAATCAATAAAATATATTAAAAAAATAAGGCAGTTAGGTCACACGTGTTCTGGGGTAAATCTCTCACGTATTAGACCTACATCTTTGGTTAATATATCTAGCTTTGCCAAGTTTCAGCTTCTTCATCTGTAATATGGGGCTAATGATGGTATCAGCCTAGAGGACTTTCTAGGAAAAAAATGAGATAATCTGTGTCAAGCAGTTGCCCAGCATTTATTGAACACTTAATTTATGCCTTTTAAAAATTGATTCTAGAGAGAAAGGGGAAGAGAGAGAGAAACATCAATTTGTTGTTCCACTTATTTATGCATCTACTATTTGTTTCTTGTATGTGCCCTGACCAGGATCAAACCTGCAACCTTGGCATATTGGGATGGCACTCTAACCAACTGTCTTACCTGGCCAGAGTTAATTTATGCTTTTTGAAGGGGACCAACAAGCAGTTAGTCCTTCAGCTCCTAATATTAACCAGACAGTTTAAAGGATGCCTAGTTATTCCTTTGGTAAGGTGCTCTTCACTTTATACTGCAGTTTCTTCAGCTGTACATTTAAGATAAACTTGCAGAATTAAATGGGATGATATACACAAAGCACTTAGAACCATACCCAGCATGTGGTAAGCTCTCAATGAATACCAGCTATTTTTTAAAATCATTCCTCTACCATTAGTGGGAAAAATTAAAAGGATACATGGCCATACCATGGGACTGAGTCATCTTGGATTGGTCATGCCTTGTTCCAAGGTTGGTTTGCACTGCCAGCAACTTGACTCTCTTCTCTTCCTCTTCCAGCGGCACAGTTGGACATCATTGGCTTCAACATTATCAAGAAATGCATCCACGCTGTGGAAACCAGAGGTAAAGTAGTTCAACAGATGGCATTATTCTCAGTGAAGGTCACACACCTGGGGAGGCGTCATACTGCTACCTGCTATTTTCCGACTTTAAGTGACTCATTTAATTTCCCAAGTGTCATTGCCAATGTGTTTTCATGAGCCGTGTTGCTCTGAAGCAGGGCCTCTTAGCTGATTTGGTGTCATTGATCTCTTTGGCTGATCCAAAGAAAGTTTTAAACATATATGTATCAAATGTGTGGGATTGAAAGGAAACCAGTTACTGAAGTTCAATTATTAAAATATTAAGCTACAATAATATGTGTTATGATGTAGTAAGATGTTTTTCTTTGTTAACACTTTATATAACAAGTTATAGTGGTGGGTTGATAACTGGCTTAATCTGGAAGTAGTAATATTTCAAGATGTCTGCAACAATTGTAATATATTATTGATAGTATCTGTGACTTCTGACCAAGTTGCAGGTACTGTTAATCTACTGTGATTTGTTGCTTATATCATAATGGAAGGGAAATGCTTAATTTTCAGTTAGAAGTTAGTGCAAACAAAGATGTGATTGTATTCCTAAGTTCATAGACACCCTGGATTCTCTAGTGAATCTTTTAGGGTCCATGGACCCCAGGTTAAGAACCTGCTCTGGGGAGTTTGTTGCTGGAGACCATCCAGGTGTTAAGAATGGGTCAGGCCCCTAGTCTCCTGTAGTGGCACTGTGGTCAGGCCCTCTCTATTACACTTCGACCTCTCCAGGGTCTGTAGGAGCCAGGCATAGAGACCAGGGATGTTGTTTCATCCAGGTGGTCTCCATCCCCTCTTCTGAGATCAGCACAAAGGTGATTCTTCATTTCTGACAGTTTGGAGCTTTGAGTGCACTGGTCTGTTGAACCTCTTAGAAAAGCTGATAACTATCTTTCCACTGGGTTTGATTTGAACCATTTTCAAATGTGTGAATCTTTTTTATTCTATAGCCTCTTAGCCCATCAGCGCTTTTTATTTGTTTGGAAAAAGTTCTGTCTTTTAAAGCAGGATCCATAACTCTTTCCAGTTGAGAAATATAGGCATCTCTATAAAGGCTATAAGTCATTGAGCAGAGGGGGAGAAAAAAATTAACTTTGTAAGTCTTCTCCTATCTATCTTGTCAAAAAGTATTCTTTCCAATGTATTATTTTAATGTATACTTACATTTTTAAATGTTTGCTTATTTTGACTATACCTTCCTTCAATAGAAAATTAAAGCAGTTTGCACAGATAATATAAAATATAACCAGAGAATATAAAATAGAAGTAGGTGACATTTCTGGGAATAATGGGTCTTGAGGAAATAAGGACATGAACCAGATTGAGCTGTAAGGCTGTTTACAGAAAAATATCATCATTAAGGTGAAAAATCAGAAACTGACCAAATGTCTCAAAATTTGGTTAAATCAACAGAGGTACATTTATGCAATAAAAATACCCTGAATCACTAAAAATGCAGTGGAAATATATTTATTGACACCCAAGATTTTCATTATATATAGTAAGGAAAAAATGCAAGTTATAAAACAGCCTGCCAAATATGAACCAGCCCATTCTGGGGGTGACGGGAGAGGGGAGATTCATTCTTGTACCTGTATCATGGTGTTATCTGTTTTCCATAACTACAGTTTCTCAAGTTTTAAAAGTAGATATAACTACGGTAATTTTTCAACAGGCATTTTGAAATGCTTTTCATTTTAAAATAAAGAATGAGATGTAAGAGATACAAGATAGAGGCATGAAAGTGGAGCCAAAGTGAGTTCAAAACTAAACTCCCCTCCCCTCAACTGCCCAACCTCATATGCTTGCCTGAGGTGGGCCACCTGTCTGTCACTCAGTTTTCAGCAGCCAAAACAAAGAGAGAAACCTAATCATTTAAAAACCTTCAGAGTCTGTGTGATGAATGCAAACCCATACCTCAAGAGGATGACTTTTTTCTGATGTCAAGCCAGAAAATATACATGATAAATAGTGAGGAAGACGAAGGTCACCAGTTGGCTTGGTCCCTTAGCTTCTGCCTGTGAAAATGATGTTTTAACTTCTGAGTAAGTTCATTCAACACAAAGAGGACATAAGGACAAAGTGAGTCATGTATTTACGTAAATACATGAAGGAACTGGCTGTTTCCCTGCCGCAGTTCATATACATACACATATAACTGTGATGGCCAGAGGTGACCAGAACCCCATGCCCTCTGGGGCTCATTAATCATTGCCCACTTGAAGCTGGGATTGTGTCAAGTTCCAGGAAAGCACAAGGACGAAGGAAAGAGATAACACTTCAGAAAGGACAAGCCCTTCACGCCCCCACTGAATAATGGTTTTGCTACCGAGTAACTTGGGGCCCTTCCCGTGGTTGTTGACCAGGGTCTCCTAGCCTGTGAACCATGCAGGATGATGGCCTGCTCTCCTAGGTCTGTTTTAGCTGTAGAGCCCCCTCATTGCAGACCACTTGCTTCTATTTGTGAGTTCCGTTTCTACATAGGTCTTGTAGAAGATACTGCAGAATCAGCTTTTCCCGAAATTTCTTTCAGGAAATTTTGTTTTGGCCCCAAAGTAGTGGCTCTGATGGAGCATAAATCACTGTTTTATTTGTTCTGTCCTGTGTCATATACTGACCTGGGTGCTGGACATATAATGGTGAGGAAGACAATCACTGTACCACGAGTTTATATTGTAATTGTGGGGGAAAAGACAAGAAACCAAAGTAGAAAGATAATTTTAGATATTATTAACTGCTATAAATAAAAAAGAAAAAGGGGCCAGATATGGGCCAGCAGTGTTGGTCATGGAATGCATTAGATCAAGGAGGTTGCTTTTAAGCTGACACCTGAATGTTGAACAGATCTGGGACAGGAGTGCCTGGGTGGAGGGAATTCTGTGCCAAGGCTGTGACTGGGGGCCTGAGCTTGATACGTTGGAGTAACAGGAGGGCCACTCTGTAGCATAGTGGAGTGGTCAATGAAACGGGCTGAGGCCAGGCCTGTGCTCGATTGTGTAGGGCCTTGTAGGCACAGTAAGGTTCGATTGTGATCTAAATGCTATGGGAAGCCATGGGAAGGTTTTGAGAAAAGAGAAGGTTTGAAATGATTTATACTTTGAGTTTACTTTGGCTAGTGGTTGAAAAATGGACATCAAGGGAACAAGACAGAAACCAGGAGACCAGGTAGTTGAGAGGTACCACATATGATGGGCCTAGGACCAACAGGAAGAAAGTCATTTTATATCTTAGTCTGAAGTATCATCCCCTTTTGTAAATGATACAGTGGTGATCTCATCTGTACTTAAATGAACAAAGGACTGAAGTGGGTTAGTTTTTGGTTCTTTGTTTAGGTGTTTTAAGGGAAACCCCTTCCAGTCTAGTTGTACATTTCCTTGGGTTGAATGAAGATGGTCCTTCTTTTTCTTTATAATGAATATTTTCATTACAAATGAATGGATTTTCTAATTTTTCAGTTTTGGCTAACATTCTCCAAAATTTAAAATGTCCTTAAATCTCAATATTTTCATTTGTATGTGAAAATAAGTTGTGAAGTGTTTATCCTTTTCTGAAGTATGAATTTTTGTCATGTCATTTTTGGCTTTTTAAATTAAAACACCAGTTAACTACAATCTATTTAAAGTATGTATTTTACATCTTTCAAAACTCTTCAGATGCTGCCTTTGGCAAGGGAAGAGGAAGGTTTCTTTCCCCTCTGCTGACTGAACTAACATGAGGGCTGAAGTGTGCAGCACATCCGTGAAATCCTAGACAGCTGTACCAGTTGCACTCCTTTGCTAAGAGCAGAGCTGAGTGACAAGGGACTTTAATTAAGGCGACTTTTAGAAGGACCGAGAAAATGAGAACAGTACCTTTGGCTGGGTTGGCTTGACTCGTGATTTGATGTACCTCTAATTAAATCATCACTGTTTCTCTTCTTAGGGATCAATGAGCAAGGGCTCTACCGAATCGTGGGGGTCAATTCCCGAGTGCAGAAGTTGCTGAGTATCCTGATGGGTGAGTGCGCACTGGCTCTGCCAGACAGGCCCCAGGGGACACGGAGAGGGCATCTCTGAAAGGTCGCCAGGTTTGTGTGTGTGGATAGCCCACAGGGAAGGAATCAGGGTGTTCCAAGAGGTAACTCTCAGAAACAAGCTGCCTCACTCACCTGTTTTCATGACTGCGGGGGTTCCTGGGAGGGGCACTAAGTGGAACTGGATGAAACAAAAAGTGGCAAATCTGAGATATCAATCCTTTCTTTTTTCTTTTTTCTTTTTTAATTTTTTTTGGATCTTTTTATTTATTTGTAGAGAGAGAGGGAAGGGAGGGTGAAAGAGAGGGAGAGAAACATCAATGTGTGGTAGCCTCTCACGTGGCCCCCACTGGGGACCTGGCCTGCAACCCAGGCATGTGCCCTGACTCAACCCTTTCTGTTTGGAGCCTTGGCCACTGCCAGTCCCAAGGACACTAGGTTGCTCATGTGACCACCACACCTCTGCTCTGTCTTTCATAGCTCATGAGTCCCTCTGTCTTCTCTGGAGACAGGCATTTAGTGGGGCACACCTAATGCCTGAGGAAGGGCATCCTTCTAGCCCATAGAGGACCTCTGGTGTCATGTTCCCTGTTAAAGAGAAGGTGTCATGTGACTCCCAGATAAAATATATATAAGCAGATAATTCTTCTGATTCTCTTTGCTTCTAGATTTCAGCCTAGTCTCTCATCTGAGCAGCAGAACCTCTTATGCAGCTGGCTGATATAAATATGAAGCTACTATCTGTGAATGTGCCATGTTCGGATCAAAAACCCATGAGCCAGTGAGCCAAATTTGCATAGGCTGCAGATTTCCTGTATTTTTAGAGATATGAATGCAGCCAGCCTCAGTGAGTCACATGGATCTAAATGGCAAACAGATCAGATTTCACAGATCAGTGGCTGTTATTTATCCCCATGGAAGCCCAGCCATATACTAGGAGAGACGGACCATCACTCAGGGTT